TAGTGAAACAAAATTCCATCAGACGCAAAGAACGACATGTTTGTTACGTCTCTAGAACGTTTTCTGCAGTCATTTGGATTGTGAAGAAATTCTTAAATATAAGAGGCTGACGTATGGTATTCTGTCATGTATTTGGCCTTTTATTGTCACGTCTCTTTGTGACTGTAGACGGGGTTTCGATTGGTGAATTGATTTATTGACGAATTCAGGTTGTAACTACAAATAAGTATAAAACTATCACTGTTTCCACAGTTTACAGTTCACTAGGGCACACAGTCTAGTGTTCTCAGGCGTTAGTGGACGTTTTCTAGTAACGGCTACAACAGTGGCTGTTCCTTTGTATCCGGCTCACGTCCTCTCTTCACCGATTCCCGTATAGAATTTACTATCGACTGAGCACACTCGCAACCAATTCGTTACCATTTCACAGCAATTCATTTTCTTCTCTTCACTGCCTGACTTTCAACTGACTCGCTTCCCCAAACCTCCCCGTTATAACTCGGCACGGATCACATAGTAGACACGAAAACACAGTTATGTAGTTGGGTGTCTGTTGCGGTCGTAGTTTACAGTTTCGCCGCTTTGTGACGGGTCTCAACGCCACAGAATGTTAATGTTAAAGTCGGTAGTAGCTTCGCATGAGAGCAGAAGATGACCGGAGTGAAACAAATGCTTAAGTCGATATTGAAGTATCCATCTTTACTACAACTTTCGTGTAGATAGCAGCTCCGCTTTGTGCATGTTATTATTATATCTTGTTTGTGAGTTATATCACGACACAGGATGTTTGGGCAGCGGTCCCCAAGTGTGGCCCCATTCGGTCACTTTCTGGCACCAGATGTTTCATGACTGTTGAAGAAACTTCTTGTTGACAACCTTTTTCCTATCTTGAGACAGATTTTCGTCATGTATTCTGTAAATCTATTGACAGTTTTTAAGAGGGTCTTGCGGGTTTGAGATACAAGGCTCCGAACTTTCAGCTCTATATCCTGCAGAACAAGCGTCGCAATAGAGTGACCTTCATTTAAACTGGAAGAACGTCCAGTGAGCATGTTCCCGTTTAGTGAGCGGATGTAGATTGAGATAAGCGCATTATCCGGCGCTTTGCTTTAAGCTCTGCAGTAATAACCACCATCTTCACAGATTTCCTTTACACGTATGTGTAAAAAGCTATATGTTTTATGTGACCATGGCATATTGTTACGTGAAGAGGTGCCAATTAGACGGGGTTTGGATCGGATGTTTGGATTTATTGCACTTATACTCTTAACTCGTAATTGAAAGAAATAACAGCGCTTTCGCTGTTCTACACACGTTACAATTCACCGCTACACACGCACTAGGGTTCTCAGTATTCATTAGTCGTAACGTGGCAACGGATTTAAACTGAGTAATTATGTCAATCACACTTCAGATACCACCAACAAAATCTTCTCTTTACATGCTGACTTTCGAATCTCAGTCATAGTCAGAGTCAGAGTTACTTCACGACCTGCAGTGTACGGCCAAATCAGTTCGTCTAGGAGCCAAGAGTATTGAGACTCACGGCCAGCATTTTTCTCAACTGAACGCTTTTGATTATAGTCCTTATGTAACATCCTCTCTGACGAGAGAATGAGTCTGCCATTTACAATGACCGTTGGGCCTCGCCAGTGCAGTCATTCTCGGATCCAAGTCCCACGAGACTTATGATCATATTTTACTGTCTGAGATTCGAAACTCCCCCAACCTGCAGGACCATATCCTATATTTATATCCCCCAGGAAGAGAGTGTCCCAGTTATACCCCCAGGTACTGGGCTATCTTTCCGTAGCCTCCTATAATTCGCAGGGCTACTGTGGAAATATTCTCACCTGGCCTGAGATCGATATATAACCTCTGGGCGGCCCCAACAGAAAACACCGTTTCCTAAAAGGTCCTCAATTGTTACAAAGGTGTGTTTACCTCGTCAGTGCATGGAAACGGTAGTTCTTCTATTGTTGCTTGCGTATTTCTTTCCGCGGGAAGTTGTTTACCGAGCCGTTGCCTAACAATGGACTATTCCATCTTTCAGACGTCACGTCACAATATGTATCTAACTTCTATATGCAGCTACAGGAAAAATTTACTTTACATTTGCTGGTTAAGGCTATATATCGCTATATCATCGAATGGCACAAAGACAGACAAGTGATAAATAGAAGCCATATACAAATCAGGGTATCCCTCATGCAGTTTTCTGGAAGGACAAAAGAAATCCACGGCTCATTTTAGCCAAATTTCCTTATTTTAAAAAGAAAGGGTTTTATGAAATCACTGTGATATCTGTGTATCCCCACCAATCAACTTTTGAATGCCTGAACTAATCTTTGTGAAACTTGATATGAGCACATCTCAACGGCGAACTTTCATAAATCCCTCTCATTCGTCTGCGAGTCAATATGTGAATCGTTTCAAGGTAACGGTTCTGTAAACACATTCCCGTGGCAACAAAGAAGTGTTGGAGTTGTGGTTTTATATTTGTTCGTGTCGTATCAAAGTAAAGTAGGTTAATAGCTCTTCCCAGAACTTCTTGTTATATCAACTTCAGCTCCTTATTATAATTGAAGATATATTATCAGAAAAATTTAAGTTGCTTAGTTCAAGTATTCTTGGCGAAATTAGTTTTTAAGCAATTTCTCCTTGCAGGAAGTCAATTATATTAGAAAAATCTAAAATAAAAGACGACAGTAAAATATAACTGATACACGTCCTTCCGAAGACCTGGATTGTGCTTCCACCATGCAGTGGTTGCAATAGTTAGGGAGAGACTGTCAGTAAATAAAGAAACAACGCACATATTAAGGATTTAGTTAGCTGTGAGCGGCACAATCCTCACTTGGATTTCGAAGAGGAAGGGGCAGCTTTTTGTATTTTTACTGGCATAGTCCATAAACAGAAGAATGTGTTTGAAATTTTAGCTACACATTAATAAAAAATTAATTTTACAAGAAATGTTTCTTAAAGACAGCAAAAAAAAAATATATGGGAAACAAAATTCCCCATTTTAAACATAGCGGTCCACAAAATATATTGTCACCATTTTATGGAGTGTAGCTATATATAGTGTTTGGACTGATAATTTGATTTATGGAACACTTGAAGTACGCAATCGCAAATAACTACGACAGCCTCACTGAGTTACACACTCCAAAGATACACTATAATTACAGTACACAGAAAATATTCTAAGTTTGCTATGCCTGCACCAGTCGTTACGTGGTAACGGATCCTAACAGTGTCCTATAACTCATTCATCTACCAGGTCACTCCACTGACTCCCAGCCTGACGGTCATCTCACATCAACCTCCTCTTCTCACTGCCATCTCAAGACTGTCTTCTAATGACAGCTGGCCCTCGTTATATAGACCCGACACGGACCGCACAGATAGCACCTCTTCCAAAAGCTCTTCTGTTGCGGCCATTACCTAGCAACGGGCATTATTTACAGACCTGTTACTTAGCAAAGACGATTGTATAGCTGCTTATTTCGTGGTAGTTTCTTAGCAACGGGTCTACATGTCACAATATATAAATTTTTATTTTTAACATAATCAGAGTGCCTAAAATTATCCGTTATGGATCTAAGCTCTTGGATTTGAGGCGCACTACCTACAGTCAGAAACATAGTGCCATAAATGGAAGGAAATATGGAGTGCATGAACGAAGAAGGAATTAAGGAAAGAAAGAAATTATAGAAAATAATTAAACAAGAATGAAAGAGAGAAAAATACAATGACGTGAAAGTAACTTTCTTCTATTTTGGTTGACAGACATGAGCAGGAGTGCTTTAACACTTTAAAGCAAACCGGTAATTATATTTGCCATTTCCTATAGTATTCAAAACTTCCCAGTCTGTTCTTGCAGTGCATACGTAAACCTCAACAGTACACAGGCTGTGTTTTCTGCATGGTCCGTGAAATTTGGTTATAAAGTGACAAAGAGGCCTTTTAAGAGTTAGTTTACAGAAGTTGGGAGAATTCAGTTGAAAAGATATCATTTGAGTTAGTTGTTAAGAAATGAGTCTAGTTCTGGAGAAGGCAGTCGAAGGAGATTGAGAAAAAATGCCAAGAAAGGAATTAGACGGTGGGAAGAATACTTCATGTGTGATCTGAAGTGACAGATACTAATGAAATCCGTTGCCAGAATACGGCTAGTAAAGACTGAGAACCCTAGTGTGTGTGCAACTGTGAAATGTGAAGTGTGTGTATCAGCGATAGCGCTCTATTGCCTGTAGTTCCGAGTTCTGTGTATAAGGTGTCAATAAATCCAATCATCCAATCCAAATCCCGTCTTATAAGTCACGCATGAACACCCCAACACGTGTCAGTATATTCCTCACAATAAACAAATATGATTTCTCTTAAGAGATCGGAGTCCCTGTTGGAGACACGTTGTGTTTTCTGTGAAGTGTGCACTGACGATGGCCAAATACGTATATGTTGTGAAGCTAGCATCATATTCTCCCCTGGGCCCTGCACCAGGGTTAGAAGCACTGGCAGCAGGATCTTCAGAAGCAAACTTCATCAAGCGAACCGAGTAATGGACTCAGAAGTCGCCAGACTTACACAGGAAAAAGGAAGGCCGCGGCAAGTAGAGTCAGGGGGATGCGGTGCTGGTCGGGCCGAGCCAGGCCGGGCAGGAGACGAGCGTGTGTGTCTGAACACTGATCACAGTTGCGTCGCTAAAGTTAGGATGGTTGCCATAAGCTGGAGCTCCGCAGCAAATATGTTGCTATATGTCTCCAGTAACCGCAATTTGTTTACGTGTTTCTCGACTTCTGCGCCTATAATGCTGAAGGCGACATATGTAGCTGTGTTTTCTGGTGAAGAAACTCTTTTTAAAATGCACTGGTTGCTATATGTACCATATGCTGTAACAAAAGATTCTGCATTCTGTCCACTTACATTTGTTCTCATAATCTCTGGAGCACAGATTTCTTGTAAATAAATACTTAAACAAATTATTTCCTTTTTCACAGAAAACCTACTGCGTCTCCGTTACAAGGGCCTGTCCACGGTTTTCAATACATTATCGCTGTATAGTGTGGGAATAAAATCACGTGAGTATACTCTGTGGTACATCGTAAGGCTTGTTATGTGCTAATGTATGTGGTACATATAGTAAGAAGCATGGTGCAAAGGGCCGATCACAGTAGCCTCGCGGTGTAAGGCATGAAGTGTTCTTCTCCCTCTCAAACAATGGGGTGTGGGTTCGAATCCCACTTTAGGCATGGATATCTGTGTACGTTTATTTTGTGTTTGCGCTGTTGTCTGTGTCAGTAGAGGCCTTGTGACGGGCTCCACTTCAGTCATAGGTGTCCTACGGACTGTGTAGAAGATCAAGAAACTGAAAAAGCGGCCAAAATCCAACAAAAGGCTTTACAGTCACGTTTGAGTTAATGAATGACTGAATGATATAAAGGGCTAGGTACAGTAATGATGCAAATGTTCGCGAAGTTGAAACGTATAATGTGGAGTAACAGAAGCCTACGTACAGAATTTGCGGTAATGGAGTTAGGGCTCTCACTTCTGATGTGACGAACGGACGGATATAAATTTAACGCGTTGTTTAGAAAATTCATACTGAAAAGTAAAAGGTAAATATAAAGTTGTCCCTGTGCATAACTAATTAAATACTACACCATGAAGACGTATGGGGGAGTGGGTGTATAGATCCACGTTTTCTTGACCTCATAATTTTTTCTTTTTAAATTCGCTTAGTGAGGGGTGGAGTCCAACTGGGTCGACTCGGCATGGCGGCCACTAATTGGCCTATTGTAGCCTGCCCAGGGTGATTATGATAATGGAGAATTTGGTGGAATGAAGATTGGAAGAGGAAACAGAAGTACTCGGAGAAAACCCGCCCCCAGCGCCACTTTGTCCACCAAAAATCCCACTTGACCAGATCCGGGATTGAACCCAGGCTGCCGTGGTGGGAAGCCAGTGGCTAACCACTTGAGCTATGGCGCCGCCATTTACCTCGTCATTAGTTGGAAGTCAATGGTCAGCTTCACGCCCTGCCGCTTTAACTCCGGGGAAAGAGCCCCAGGTACCCATTGGATTGGAGGTTGGGTGGACCCCAGTGCCGGTCTGGACGACGTGGAGAAGAGAAAATTATTGTCCTTAATGTCCTCCAATGAACTTCACTATGGAGCATCCTGTCGTAGCGGTTCTGTGCACCGGGTGGGTCAAACAGGGCAAAGTGAGCAGCAGGTTGTAACTCTCGGTCCCATTAAATTCAATAAATTTGCGACCCTGAAGCAGAAGCAGTCCTCACCGCGTCATCTCTAAAGCCTTCTCTCACCGGAGCTACATCCACGGCTGCCGCAAATGGAAACCGACGTCCTATTGGCAGCTGCACAGTCCAAGAAATGTAGGTCTCTCCTCACCGTGTAACGGTATTGCCGCCAGATGTCCTCATGTCTGTGGCTTGTCTAACAATACTACCGCTGTGTCTCACAATGTAGGGCGAAACGTAAGATGGTCAATGCGCAGCCATCCCAGTATTAGCATGGAGCGACTGAGGAAGCCGAAAATGAAGCTAAAAGTACTCGGAAGTTTTGCAGAAATTTGAATCAGTTACCTCCAGACACGCTGCCACATGAACCACTCATGAACCAACTTAGTTTAAAGGGCCAAATAATTTACATAATAACACGTGAAAGTAGAGCTAGGATAGCTCGGTCGGTAAAGTGACTGGCTGCGGGTTGGACGACCAAGGGTTCGGAGTTCCAGTCCGGGTGAGGCGAAGAATTTTTACTTCTCCATGTCGTCCAGACCGGCTCTGGGGCCCACCCAGCCTCCTATCCAATGGGTACCGCGGGGCCATATCCCCGGTGGTAAAGCGGCCGGTGCGTGAATTTTATCACTCACCTGCAGCTAGTGCCAAGGTCACGAAAATGTGAATCTATAAATCCGCTTAATTAGTTAAACACAGGGACAATTTTACACGAGAAAGTGGGTCATTGTCAACGAAATGAAGCTTGAAGCTCAATTCAGTAACTTATAATAGAGAATACGTCATGCTTGGTCCTTGCACAGACTTGCCTATTAATGCAGTTCATAATGAGAATCGTAAGAAATATATAAGTATTCGTTATTAGCAAAATCTATAGTTTCTTAATGTTAAAGCGGGTGGTACATGTTGGGACGTGTATAACCATTGTAGACAAAGATTCGATATACACGTGCCCACGGTAAACACGTCTCAAAAATAGAGAGCCTTTCTTTTATGTGGTCCGAGCCGCGACCGTTGCTACGCAATGGTACGGTAATTACGCCTAAACAATACGGGACTATTGAAGACGGTGTTTTTCTGCGGGGTTCGTGCAAAGTGGTTATGAAGAAGAATTCAGTAGAGCAGAATAGTCGAGTAGAGTCGAGTTTCGAGACGCCAGCCTGCCGGGATATGAGCTTAGGAGCAGAGGAAGTGGATTGAGCAGAAGTCTGGATGTTTCTCGTTATGGAAGTCGCAGAATAATGGCAAGAAAGGAATTAGGCTTTGACAAGGAGACTCCATGTGTGATTCGAAATGACAGCGAGACTGTTACAAATCCGTTGCCAGGATACGACTACTGAAGACTGAGAACCCTAGTGTTTGTGTAACGGTGAACTGTAAAGTGTGTAGATCAGCGATAGCGCTGTACTGCCGAGTACTGCCCGAGTTGTGTGTGTATAAGGTGTCAGTAAATCCAATCCAATTCAAAACCCATCTATAAGTCACGCACATACCCGTTAATCGTCACAATGTAGTTATCACTGATATTTAAAGAGTCCTTCCATCTATATTTATGAAACGATTCGAGGATCTCTCACAGAGCAGGTTAGTGTAGCCGTGATTATTTTTATTTCTTAGCGGTGCGGTGAGACTGAATCCACTTGGTACGTCGGCCACTGTTTGGCCTATTGTACCAGACTCGGATGATAGACGAGTATGGACCATTTTGTGGAATGAGAATTGGTAGGGAAAACTGAAGTACCCGGAAGAAACCTGCCCCCGTGCCACTTTATCTACCACAAATCCGATATAATCTGACTTGGGCTCGAGCCCGGGCAGCCGCAGTGGGAAGCTAGCGACTAACAGCCTGAGCTATGGCAAGGCCTCTGTTAAGACCGTTACCGTTTCAGATTTGTATTCGGGATATAATGGTTTCGATTCTCGCCCGAGATTTCTCCTTCTCTGACATTTCTTTCCTACTCTTCCTCAGTCCCGCCAAGTATTTTCCGGGGCAATGTATTGAGTAACCCATAGCCGATTTCTCCCGAATTATTGCCAACTCATTATGTTTCAATCACCATAACATTCAGTGTTACATGATTCAGATACTAAAAGCGCCGTGACAACATTTGAACGGAATTACATAAAATATGCTATTTCAGAGTTTAACTGAATTTGCAGCACAAATTCGGGGGTTCATTAAAATCGAAAAACAATGGCGGTCACTTTACATGAAGTCCTACTTGCCGTTCTGCCCCCATCTCAAGCGAAACTCGCTAAATGCTTATCGGAGCGAAAAGTATTTGGAACAGTGTTTGTAGAAGGCATTAGAACAGACTTTGTCTGCCTTCTCCATGAATCTTACGGTGTCTGAGTAATCATTCAAAAAGAGAGAGAACCCCCCTCAGTTCGTACGCTGCGAGACACTTTCTTAACTTTTGTTTTATGAGGCGAGAAGTTACCAGACTGCAGGAAGCCACATCTCAGAAAATAGTATTGTCCCGATTTTGGGGTGTGACTATAGACGGGGTATGGATCGGATATTGGATTTATTGACACAACTCTGAACTACAAGCAATTAGAGCGCAATCGCTGAGCTTGACACTATAAAAATCACTGCTGCAAACACTACGTCTTCTCCAGCCAGCAGTGTCTTGGACAGCCGTTTTCTGGTAACGGCTATTAACAGTGGAGAATCTGCAGTTTCCCGAGCTCAGGTCCTACCTGTCCGGCGAATATCCCGCAACTGAAGTCTCTCAATGACCCTCAGCTGACCTGGAGTCCTCGTTATGTAACCTCGGGGCGGAACTAGCAGAAAAAACAGACCCCACCAATTCCACTGTTGTTGCTATGGCCTGTTGCCTAACGATAGCTCGGATATTGTTGACATGTTTACCGGCCGTTACCAAACAACGCATGTTCCTTCTAGGGATCATTACATAGCGACGGCACTACACGCTACAATATATTTTTATAGTCACAGTCCATAAGATGTCAGTTTCACAGTCTCTAAAATCTACAAAAATTAATCGCTTGAATATTACAGTGTGCTGAGTCCATCGACGTTAATCTTCGGGAAGGTGATCTTGAACTTAGTCTGTACGGCAGTTTAAATATTACTTGGAACAGAACACATCCTAATAGATAGAATCACACACTTCCAAGTAATGTACACCTGTAGAGTTATGTGGAGATAGTACAACAAAATACGGAGAATTATAAAAATGCATTATCTCATTTTCGCCCTGAAGAAGACCCCAGGACTGAGGTGGCGAATTACCTGGCACAGCTCGGTCACTGCACTGCCTTGTGGACGAGTGACAATAGTTGTTAGCCTTCACTGTTAGGGTTCCATGTCATATGTCAGCCGAGTTAACAAGTAATTCTAAAATTTTTATTTTTACGGACGTGTAATAAAGAGTTTTTACAAAATGTAACCAAAATGGGAAACTAAGAGTCTCAAGCAGAGAACGGGAAGTGTACGGACGCTTTCCTTATTTCAGCCACAACACTGATACATATTGTGACATGCCGCCAGAAAGCCGGAATGGTTGAGGAGATCAGGGTTGATTTCCTAGGAAACGAGCGACGTTCCCAATACAAAGGCTTGAAATCAGAACGCTAGCAAACCAAAGTAACGAATTGTTGGAGGCAGTTGCATGACAACGGCTAGAAAAACTTGTAGCAAAGAGAGAATACTAGTATGTATTTAGAACTTGTTAAAACCTATTATCTCATACGTCATATTTTAAATTATTGTGTATTATTGATCATCCACATGGGATCGTAAGATCATAAGACATAATATACACACAACATTAGAAACATAAGAAGAACGACTCC